GAGTGAGTGAGTGAGCGAGTGAGTGAGTGAGCGAGTGAGTGAGTGAGTGAGTGAGCGAGCATGTGTCTGTCTGTGTCTCTGTGTGTGGTATTTGTGGATTTCTGGATGCTGATGTGCCCTCTAGTGTTCATCAGAGCATTTTCGAGAACAATGTTGGCTATCCTGCTCTATTATGCTTCTTCAGAGAGAGGCAGAGTCTCTCTGAAGAAAACTAGGAGCCAGGAAATGTGAGAGATCCTCCACTCTTTACCTCCTTACAGTGCTAAGGTTACAGACAGACACTACTACGTCTTTACATGAGTACTGAGGATTTGAACTCACATTCTCAGGCCTGTGTAGCAAGTATTCTTACCCAGTGAGCTATCCCCTAAGCTAAGATTTCAAATTTAAATTTATTTTTTATTATATGTGTGTGAGTGTTTTGTCAGCATGTATGTCTGTGCACTGCATACATGCCTGGGCTCCATAGAGGCCAGGAGATGAAGTTAGGTCCCCTGAGACTAGAATTATATATATACATATAGTTCTTTAGTCTCATTCCCCATCCCCCTAGATAATTTCTAAATATCATTTGCCAGATCCAGGCCAGAGGCAGGGGTTACAAGTCATCCTGAAATATATTGCTGGGCTGGTAAATAGACAAGATGGAATCAGAAGCCATCTTCCATGTATGATTCACCATACAGCCTTGACAAGAGAGGACAAATGATTTACAGAGAGGCCTTTTCCTTTAGCTCAGTAAGTCAAGATCGCCTTGAACTCACAATCCTTCTCTATTTCTGGAGAGCTGGGATGACAGGCATATACTACCACATCCAGTTTATGTGATGGTAGGGATGGACTCAGGGCTATTTTTTATTTTTTCCTTTTCTTTATTTTTTCTTTGTTTGAGACAGGGTCTCATATAGCCTGGACTGGCTTTTATTGTGCACCCAAGGATGACTTTGAAGTTTTTATCTTCCTGCATCTACTGTTCAACTGCTAGGAATATTGGGGTGCACCATAAGGCCTAGTTTTATATACTGCTAAATGTAGACCCCAGGGCTTGATGTGTGCTAGGCAGGTACTCTACCAACTGAACATCCTCATACCCTCACTTTCTCTCTCTCTTCTTCTTCTTTTTTTCTTCTTGTTTTGTGAGTCAGGATCTTTTTTTTCTTTTTTCTTTTTTTTTCTTTCTTTTCTTTCTTTTTTTTTTTTTTTTTTGGTTTTTTGAGACAGGGTTTCTCTGTAGCCCTGGCTGTCCTGGAACTCACTCTGTAGACCAGGCTGGCCTTTAACTCAGAAATCCACCTATCTCTGCCTCCCAAGTGCTGGGATCAAAGGCGTGCACCACCACCGCCCGGCCGAGTGCCAGCTATGTAGCCCTAGCTGATCTGGAACTCACTATATAGACCAGGCTGGCCTTGAACTTACACAGATCAGTCTGCCTCTGCCTCTCTATACTTTTATAGATTAAGGGCATGTACCATTACACCTGTTTTCAAAATGAATATGTTTAATGAGCATGAAGTAATGGAAACTTGAAGCTAACCTTCAACAACAACAACAACAACAACAAAATATAAAAACCTCCAACTGGGCTGGAGAGATGGCTCAGGGGTTAAGAGCACTGGCTGCTCTTCCAGAAGTCCTGAGTTCAATTCCCAGCAACCACATGGTGGCTCACAACCATCTGTAATGGGATCTTCTGTGTAATGTAATGCCCTCTTCTTGTGTGTCTGAAGACAGCAACATTGTACTCACAGATAATAAATAAATGAATGAGTCTTAAAAAAAAAAAAGCCTCCTACTATACTGATCAAAGGAATAGACCTAAGGGCAAGGAACTCTACCAGGCTAGAAATGGAAATAAGTGGAGGTCTTATATCCTCCCATAAACCATTTTGCATGTCCAAAACTGGAGGTAGATGAGGCCCCTTGGAGGGTAAAAGTGTCTGTTCGCTCCGCGTCTGTTCATTTCTCTGTCTCTCATACAGACACATACACACTACACCAATAACAACAACGACAATAATAAACAAGTAAGCAAACAAAATGGGACTGTAGTTGGCTGGCAGCGTGCTCAGATAGCACAGGGACCCTGGGTTTCAGTCCCAGCATCGCACAGACTACTCATGGTGGGCAGGCTTGTCAGCTCAGCACTTTTGAGCTGGAAACAGGAGGATCAGGAGTTCATGGCCACCCACAATTAGGTAGCTGGTTGAAGGGTAGTGTGGAATAAAAATAAAATAAGACAAGTGTGGTTAGGTCAGCAAAACATCTCAGTGGGTAAAGGTACCTGCTGCCAGCCGTAACAATGTGAGTTTAATCTCAGGGACTCACATAGTGGAAGGGGAGAACTGATTCCTGCAAATTGTCTTCTGATGTCCACATGAGCGCCATGACAGGCACTTGTGTGGGGAAAGCACACACATATGCAAAACTAATATGTAAGTGAAATTTTTTTAAACAAAGAGATCAAGTCCTTAAGACCATATTTTCCTCTAGCCTTGTATAAAAAATTGTCTCTGTGTGCCTGAAGTGGTGGCTCAGCAGTTAAGGGCTCTGTCTGCTCTTGTAGAGGACACAGGTTAGATTCCCAGAACCCACAGGGGCACTTCACAACCATTTGTAACTCCAGTTCTAGGAATCTAATGCCTTCTGGATTCTGCATGAACTGCATTTACCTGGTAGTCAGGCAAAACACTCATAAAATAAAAAATAAATCTTAAAAAATGAAAATAGTCTTTGTGGTAGAAGAGACAATGAAACAATGCATCTTATCTTTGGCCCAAATCTTCTTTGTCCAGAAAAAGACTCCTTAGCCTATGTCACAGCTAAATTTATATCTGTTCTAGCCTTTAGCTCACAGCTTTCCATGGTTGTAAAGAGCTATACTTATGGTGGATAGAAGGCAGTCCTCAATTTGGCCAAAGTGTAAAAGAAAAATATTTTTAAAGACTAGGTTGTTAGTCTAGGCCGAACTTGAACTTGATATATCTAGGTAAGGATGGCATTGAACTCTCTGTCCTTTGGTCTCCACTTTCTGAATAATGGAATACAGACAAGGGACACGATGCCTTGTTGTGTAATGGAACCCTGGGCTCTGTGCAAAAACTCTACCAAGGAAGCTATATCCTCATCCCAAAACTATAAGTAGATTGATGGTACTATCCCAATTTCTGTTTTTGTTTTTTTGGTTTTTGTTTTTTTTGTTTTTTTTGCTTTTTTGCAAAATGGAGAAACTAAGGTGGTGGGTTTACTGACCTACATGCCCAGAAACAACAATAATAATCAAAAAAGATAATTAATAATCATCAGCCGGGCGGTGGTGGCGCACGCCTTTGATCCCAGCACTTGGGAGGCAGAGGCAGGTGGATTTCTGAGTTAAAGGCCAGCCTGGTCTACAGAGTGAGTTCCAGGACAGCCAGGACTACACAGAGAAACCCTGTCTCTAAAAACCAAAAAAAAAAAAAAAGACAAATGTTTGCAAGTAATTTGATATCTTTTTATGATTATTTTCTTTTTGTTTTTGTTTTTGTATTTTGAGACAGGGTTTCTCTGTGTAGCCCTGGCTGTCCTGGAACTCACTTTGTAGACTAGGCTAGCCTCGAACTCTTGAACTCAGAAATCCGCCTGCCTCTGCCTCCCAAGTGCTGGGATTAAAGGAGTGCGCCACCACCGCCCGGCTTGCAAACATTTGTTGACAAACAATATTTAATTAATTCCAAAATATTTTTTCATAAGTCACTTATTGACAGTATGGCACACTAACTCACGCTTGAGAAACAGGAAGGCAACATTTCAACTCAGCATAATCAGTAGTGGAGGTTATCAACACTATATGCATCCTGAGAACACAATGTTGTTTTTGTACTTTCTACAGAAGAATACTGTGAGGAAGAAATGTAGATGTTTTCTTTTTCTTTTTCTTTTTTTTTTTTTTTTTTTTGGTTTTTTGAGACAGGGTTTCTCTGTGTAATCCTGGCTGTCCTGGAACTCACTCTGTAGACCAGGCTGGCCTCAAACTCAGAAATCTGCCTGCCTCTGCCTCCCAAGTGCTGGTAAGATGTTTTCAAATGGAGAGCTAGTCTACATAATATCTAGCCTGTCATTTTGAAAAGTATCAAGGTCATGAAGACAAGGCATAATTGAGGAACTGTTCCCAACCCCACTCCTGCATGCTAGGGAAGAACCCAGTGCCTTGCTCGTGTTAGGGAGGGGTTCTACTGTTGAGCTAGGACCTTAGCCCCTCACTGGGAGATTCCAGGCCCTGAACTTTATCACCTAGCCTTACCTTTAAAAGATGCCATTTAAACTTTAAAAGGGCTTTGAAAATTATATGGTAATACAGGGTTGATGTTAAATTTCTGATTTTGAAGGTTGTCCTCTGATTATATGAAACAATGTGTTCATATTCAGAAAATGGCTGAGCATGGTAGCATACAACTACATTCCTAGTATGTGGAAGGCTGAGGCAAGAGGATTCCCATGACTCAAGAATAGCTTGAATTACATAGTAAGATCCTATTTCAAAAACCAAAATTGGGGCTGGGGCTATCACTCAGTTGGTAGAGTGCTTACATAGCATGCTTAAAGCCAGGGCCTCCATCCAGAGCAGTGACACAGAGCCATCCCAGCCCGCAGGAGATAAAGGCAAGAGCTACACCCTCTGGCTACTCAGCAAACTGGAGGCCACTCTGGGATACATGAGATCTTGTTTCAGAACAAACAGATAAGAACAACAAAACAAGAATAAAGAAAGACAGATAATGGATAGCTCCAAGATGGCAATATGTACCATTGCAGAACAAGTGTGTATTCAGGAAGGCAGAGGCAAGGGGAATACTGTAAGGGCAAAGGGAGGATTCCATAAGTGATTTTGAGTCACTTATCCTGGGAGACAGTGAACAACAAGCGTGGTATCAGTCTGAGACAGTACAAACATT